CCACGACCACGACCACCACGACCACGACCACCACGACCACCACGACCACCACCACCACCACCACCAACAACAACAACAGCAACCACAGCAACAACCACCAACAGACAACTGCAAACAACGGCAACCAACAACAAACAATAACAAACAACAACAGCAACACCTACACCGACAGCAACAACAGTAACAACAACAGCAGTGATAGCAAAATTAAGAACAGGGGATGGGCAGTGGCGATAAAATAAAAGACATCAATACTAACAACAATATCAGCAAGAGTTGCGAGCACGTCATCAATATCAATATCACTATCAGCAACACAGCCAACGTCATTTCATTACCAATACCAGTGTCAGTTCTCTTTGTCTTCGTCACTCCCGAACAAACATTGAGATCAATGTCAGAACCAGAGTCACAATAACAGCAACAAGGCCAATATCAACAACAGACAGCAAGTGCAAAGTCAATCAAGAGAACAGCGACCACGACGACCACCACCACCACCACCAACAACAACAACAACAGCAGCAACACCACACGGAATCGGGACGGAACCGGGAGGTGACAAGGCTAGGTCATGAGGAAACGGAATCTGAGGGAGGCCCTTCCCCCAAGTCTCCTCCATTGTTCCAGGCCTGCGCAGGATGTGCGCACAACAGAACTGGAATGTCCATGACTCGCTCCCTCCGTGACACTCCTTCCCTGGCTCACTCGCCTCACTTCTCGCCCACCCACCCGCTCGACCGCCCCCCCACCCACCCAACCACCCACCCACCCGCGCACGCACGCCCGCCCTCCCAAGCACCACAGCTCCAACTGCTTCCTGCAGCCGGCACTAGTATCTTTGATGGGTTGTCTTGCGCCCGAGTTTCATTGTTAGATGCAATGTGTTTTTTCTGCCATGCGCTCCGCCACAGCACTCCTGCAAACATTGGCATGGCAGCAGACCACTGCGATATGGGATCAGGAGACAGTTTCGATAACAACAGCGACAACTACAACGATCACCCCGGTGGTCACCACGAGCACAACGAACACGACCACAACGTCGACGAAGAAGACAACGAAACCCCATCGCCAATGCGATGCCGACCACCACCACTACCACCACGGCCGCCACGGCCAGCAGCAATAGGCCCACATGTTACCGTATGGCACCCCGCTTCGTGACCGTCTGAAAGGCGTTGATCGGCATCCGCCAGACAGCCAAGGTTCTGAGCTTTATCGCTTTCACTATGTGCTCTGCAGCCGTCGTCCTCGCGGACTACGTGCAATCACATCTTCTCCTCGGTCTGGACAAGAGCGCTCTGTCTGCTTGCGGGGCCAGGATCAGTGTCTGATATTTGTAGAATCCAAGGACTTTTGCAAACCCCCAAGGCCCTTTGCTCAAAGTCGGACCACGAGCCTAAGTTCTGAATGTGGGGCTCTGTCTGGCCAGAGTGAGTCACAGCAAGGGTAGGTTTCAGAAGTTCAGTGTCAAGAACTGGTCCCCCATCCAGCCTATGGCTGCAGACTCCCATCAATCAGTTCCTTAGCCAGCAGTCGTCTAGCAAGCAGAACACAGCATCTTTCGTCTTGCAGTTTGGAGTCGCGCGTGCTCTCCATTGACACATTGGCAACAACGTATCGTCATCAAGCCAGCTTGTCTGACTATTGGGGCTGCGCTGACGTCGTCGTCCCCATCAATTTTTGATGTTGCTGTTGCTGTGTTACTGTTGATGTTTATGTTGATGCTGCTGCTGATGCTGATGTTGGTTGCTGCTGTTGCTATTGTAGTTGTAGTTGTATTTGATGGTAGTTGTCTGTAGTCGTCGTCGTCGTCGTCGTAGTACTAGTAGTAGTAGTAGTAGTAGTAGCAGTAGTAGGAGTAGGAGTAGGAGTAGGAGTAGGACTAGGACTAGGAGTAGGAGTAGGAGTAGTTGTAGTTGTAGTTGTAGTCGTAGTCGTAAGTAGGTGAAGTAGGAGTAAGAGAAGTAGGAGTAGGAGTAGGAGGAGGAGTAGTAGTAGTAGTAGTAGTCGTAGTCGTAGTCGTAGTCGTAGTCGTAGTAGTAGTAGTAGTAGTCGTCGTCGTCGTCGTCGTCGTGGTGTAGTAAGTAGCGGTAGTAGTAGTCGTCGTAATGGTAGTATAAGTAAAGTACTGTTACGAGTTTTGGTACTAGTACTGGTACGAGGTTTGGTTCTAGTATCAGTGCTCTACTAGTTACTAGTACTACTGGGACTGTACTACTAGTGCTGTTGAAGTAGTACTTACTAGAATAACTGTACGACGAGTACGGGTACTAGCACCATTACTCGTACGACAGTGCACGGCAGATATCCTGCCTGCTTCCCCACACCCGATTTCAACGTTGTGACAGCAATGAGATCACGCAGGATGTTGAACAGTTACACCCTCCCTGTTTGCACTACCTTCGGGCCCTATACTAAGATCCGGGGCTTGGGGGAAGGGGAGCCTCTGCAGAAATCGGTGCAGTTTGTTGTATGAGCAGCCGGACGCGCCAGCACCACCACCACCACCACGACGACTGCTGCAGCTACCGCCCCATTGCCGCTGCCACATACTCCTACTATTTTAGTACATCCTCGGACCTCCGGGCCTTGAGTTGTGGTTCGTCCAGTCAGGCAGTATCCCAGGGGTGGGATCTCTCTGTTTTGACATACCGGCGTTCACATGCCTGTCATATCCAGCATTTTTGACATCGTCGCCCACAGTATGATCTCGACATCACATCAGTGCCAGAGCTCTGACTTCAATACGACATGGCTCCGGAGTAGTCTCCCAGCTGCATCGAATGGAAAGACTTCGGTCATTGCACATTTTTTTTGGAAAACGGATGCCGCAGCGCTAAAGATTTTTAGTCTGGGCATCGAGCAAGCATAGATGTTTGTTATCTACGAACTGAAAAGCAAAAAGGAGCATGGCTTGCACATTATTGGCATGTGGCACCGGGTGCGTCAATTGGTTACTCTCCACTCCACGGCAGCTTCGCGGCGCTCGTCCTCTTTCGTTACACGATCGTGGCCGACAACGTTCAATTGGAAAAGTCGCATAAAGTAGCTTCTCGTTCCACAAAGACCTGCAAGACTTCAGATTGATTGAAAGAACTTCAGTTGATGCACCACAGTCTCTGCAATCAGAAAGGCTTCGATGCCTTCGTGATTGGCGACGATGAGACTGAGCACCTGGATGAGTGCACCCAAGCCAGTAGATTGTTTTTGCATGTGAACTGCAACCAGCTGCCAGGTTTGTACCTCAACACTTTTCAGGTGAGGATGCATGGTCTCTGGGAGGCCCACAACAAAAATCAGAGTCAGCAGGATCGAGAGGGCATCCGGTGGCTCACAGGTGCTGTCAGCAGCGTGCGGCCTCCGAAGGTGCAGCCGAAACCCTAAAGTGAAAATCCCTAAAGCAGCGCTACCAGTAGGAGGCCGCGGCCCGCTCCGACCCAGACCTGCTGGACAGCCTGGACAGCGCTTTGGAGGATGCAGAATCTTGTGTGAGAACCTTGCAGATCCGAGCAATCTGAGGGCCGAGATGCCTTGCAAAGGAGAGCAACTGGAGTGATTCCAAGCTCGGCCGGTCGCTGAGCATGACAGTTGCCGGGTAACAGTTTCCAGACACCGCAATCTTCCAATCTCCAGAACTGTCAGGTAACGGCGTCTCGCGTGGTGTCCCTGAAGGGCCATTGGACTAACTCACCCGTCAAGATGATAGTTAACAACCTACGATGTAGCCGATGGAGCCTACCTATGCTGCTTACATTCATAAGAAAGAGCTTGCATGCTGCCGTTGGCAAGGGGCAGTCCACCAATTCGGGATGGACTTCTAGCTCTGAAGAGCCAATGACAGGAGTCGGAAAACAGCAGTTTCTGTCTGCACGGTACGTTGTTCCCACCGGATGTGCATCAGCGTGATGATTTGGCAGGTCTGTGTCTTCCTGTGTTTTTCCCATTTCTCACAGTGCGCACCCAAGTCTTGCTTACGTTTCATGGCACTCGGAGTGATGCCAGCAGGATCCGCAGCTCAACAGCAACACCCTCCTTGCCGAAACAAGCCAGGGATCTCGAAGTGACACAAGTTTTAGTTCTCTTTGGCAGTGGATACAAACAGAATCGGTGCCTTTTCCCTCAGCCTTTCTCCCCTGCTCTGCTGACCTTGACCCTCGTCCTTGAAGCCTTCACGTGACTTCTAGCAAAAAAATAAGCAACCTATGATGAGTCCTGTTTCAGTTTGCTGTGACTGTGCTCGTCCAAAATGCTCAACACGACATGGTTTCGTTTGCTTGATAACGGGGCTCACATCGGAGTCAACCGCTGCGGCTTGCTGTTTCTTCGAGGTTTCATCCCGTGCTGATGCAGAACCAATGTGGCGACGTCACCATGCGGGTAATGGAATACGAGAGCCAAAGGGCTCAGGTGCGCGTAGTAAGCGTTGTGTGGCTTGCATTGCACCTTTGCACGACAGGTGCGGAGGGAAGATATGGAAAGGAGGCAGCGGAGGGTGCAAGAGCTTGAACTTGAAGAGAAATGCACGGCCGAGGACTGTCGTGGGCATTGCAGCTGTGCATTTCGCATAGCCACAGAGCTGCACGATCTGCGTGCAGGACAAGAAGTTGTTGGCCAAGGACGAGAAAAAGTGCCCGACATTTCTCCGAAATCAATATTAGACTGCCGGAGACCCCACCAAATAGCTGGGAAAGCGTCGGAAAGGTTCATGGCTTCGGACATAAATGGTTGTCAATTTGGTTATAACCAGGAAGGTCAACCAGTTGGCTCTTCTTTTTTGTGTTGGCCCCCTGCCAAACCGCGAATTGCAATGTCTGGGCTCACTCTTCTTCACATGACTCAACTGCGGCTTGTGGCGCCATCTAGACTCCACTCGTCCTTTCCATTCTTTTGGTTCACTGGACCGGGTGTTTGCCAAGCTTAAGAGATTCCTATCCTTGAGACAGTGACGCTCCATCCCTCATTGTACATTTTGTATGTCACTTTGCCGCCGGTCAATCGGGACATTTGCGTTGGCAAAGTTTTGGAAGCTTCGATTCGTGGATCGAGCAGTTCCTTTATCTGTAATGACGCGCCGGATCAACTTCAGTTGTGGCTCATTCACTTCCCCACGCGTCATACGTGTAATCATGAGCATTCCTGATAGCCCTGTGCCGCAGCAATCAGGGCACCAATCTGCTCAAGATAGTCAAACGAGCTGTCCTGCAAATCCGACACGCGCAGCCAACCCCCAATGCACCAAATGGTTGCTCCGTTCCCGACAACACATCACCCAAAAAACTCGCTGCCAATCTCGCCGCATCTACAACGGTATGCGAAATGACAGTCGGTGTCATGTACACCAATGTACCCTGTCGCACAATCGGAAGAGGGTTTCCAGGCAAGATAGTCTCGGGCCTGTACGGTCCAAAGTCTTGCAGCAACAATCGGCAATATTGACCAGTGGAAACGGCCTCCCAGTGCATGCGTAGAACTGTAGGCTCGAGGAATGACCATTACTACAATCAAGCTGCACCATCTTCTTGATTTGCACATGTCCAATGTCCTTCCAGACTGCTCTTCTCGGAGTGTACTCCACTCGGGACCGTTTGGAGCGCGTGTTCGGGGACAGTGCGAATGTGTTTGCCTGCCAAGATGGCCCCGAGTGGCATGGTTGGCCACATAGACGCCGTCGGGTTTCGGGAGGCAGTCAACAAACATACAGATGCCTGGGTGGGGGAGGCAGACCTCAGCATACTGCAGGAAGAGTACTCTCGCCGGCTCTACCGGCAGATGTGCTCCACTGGCGAGATGCTCATGTTGGCGAGCCATGAGGAGAGGATCCAGGAGATGACAGTAATAACTGCTGGGCGAAAGCACAATATGAGTGCCCGGAAGATCGCCGAGCTCATGGAAAAAAAAAGACATGGACGGATTGGCATGCTTGCTGTTGCCACCAGGTGGTGTTAAACACTTGGGAGACTGGCAGGATTGTTGCAAGGACAAAAAGATCGAAACCCCCCCGCTTGCGAGCCTTGCTTTTTGCAGTCTCAAGTCACGCATACTCAACCGTCACAAGGCACAGAAACGCAAGCGAGTTCAAGAAGAGAAGCAAAAGGAGCAAGTTGAGATGAGTGCCAAAAAGAAGCAGGCTAAGGAAGCCGCAGAGCAGGTGAAGCAGCAGGAGACGACCCTCCCACCCGTTTTCGGCATCAGCTTGGAGACTTTGAAGGACGACGATGGCGGCTTGGTTGGTAAGCCTGTGACGATCCTGAGCGGCCCCGGCAAGGGCTCCATCAACTCAGTGGATGCACCGTGCTGCGTCACGAGCATGACAGCCCTGACCAGCTTCGTGAAGAACCCGAAGGCTGCTGCGATGTGATATTCATTGCAGTTGGGCTCTGTCGTTTTTGTAGCCTTGAATTTTTGGAGTTTGCGACTGGGTTTTTTAGTGATTGGGATCTTGTGATGTGTGCCTGTGGGTGGGTGTGTGTGTGTGTGTGTGGGTGTGTTAGGTGCCGCCCTATGCTTCTGTGCTTCTTGACGCAAGCACTTTTCCAGGTGGTTCAAGTTATGCTCGGTGGCTTCGGAGGCTCCTACAAGAAGGCCGCATCTGAAGGCATCGGGGAGATGCCAGGAGCTGATCCAGAGGGGCAATGGCATGGAGGAGTGCGATGGTCCCTTCAAAGATGTGGGCGAGCTCTTCAAGGTGCTTCACCCAAGCTGGAGCTGGCAACATGGAGTGCTACCTCAGCAATGTTCTGCAGGCGAGCCGGCTCTTCGGTTACGAAGCACAATCGGCACAGCTGTACCAGCTTCCAAACAGTTTGGGTCGCTTTCGGTTGCTATGTTTCGGCGAGGTGGCTTGGAGGCTGTCTGGTCTCAACAAGCTTGTTCAAGCGATGAAAATCATGTTGAGCAAGGACAACATTGGTGGCTTGGAGGGCGTGCCAGCCTTCTTGAAGGCCCTCGCCGACCGGGACATGATCACACTCTCATCCCATGGATGTGCTCCTCAGTGGATCGTTCGGAAGGAGGGACAGAGTATGTTCCTGCCAGCCGGGTTCCTCGCTACTGAGCATTGCAAGCGCGGTGTCTTGGTGTATGGCATCCGCAAGGCTTTGCTGTACACTTCACAGGAGGCCGCTGAGAGCTACAATGTTGTGATCAACTTGCACGAGGCTTCGAAAAGCCTGTGGGCAAGTTGAAAGCGACAGCTTGCTCTTTGGGACTTGTCGAGGCGGAGTAAAGCTTCGCTCTGACACACAGGCTGCCGGTTCATAGATTAAGCTTAAGGTTAGAGTTGAAGTGTTGTTACAGAAGTTAGACTAAAGCTGTTGTTCCGGGTTTTTTTGATAACTTTTGAGTCGGGCTTCAAAGTTGTGACAGAGACGCCCATCTCTGTTGTGTTTTTGAAACAGATTATCGTGCTCTGCTGATGGCCAGCAAAATACAAGTGCCAGCTGGTCGCACTCACCTCGGTTCTTGTCGAGTTGAAACCACAAGCTGTAATCTTCGAGACTTGAAGCACGTTCTTGTGCCTCTGCGTGAAGCCTTGGAAATTTCAGTAGGATGTGTTTGTAGTTATTGAAGTGCTGGCAGTCGTTCGTCGTTCTATAGAGGCCTGGCGCATGGATCCCAACAGTTAGCTCTAACACCCTGCACGTTGTAGACAGTTTGCAATGTGTAAAGCCGTTTGCGTTGAGGGTCAGAAAATCCACTGGTAGACCAGATCCCAATGGTTGCTGGCGATTTTTGTGCATGAATATTTGTGGGGCCGTGATTACAACCGGATCTCGAAGCCGTGATAAATCTTCAAACCCAGCAGCTCGAAACACGAAGCCTCCAAAGTCTAGACATCGCCAACATCGCGCAGATGTCGGAAACGATTGATTGATCTGAGTCTCCCGGGGTTACCCGGAGTGCAAGGCCCCCGAAGGGAATTCCACGCAAGTTGGCATTCCAGACAAACTTCGCAGTGAGGGCACGCTCTCATTCAAGTGCAACGCAGGATATTCCGGTGCTAACCATTCCGATCAACAGCTTCAGCCCCACTGCCGAACAGTATCCGCGATTTATCCACCAATCAAGCTTGCCAGTGAAACTCAATCAATCTGTCATAAAACTTGACAGGATCAATCTCTGGCAAGTTTATGGGAGGAAGCGGGGGCACTCCGGCATTCAACACACCGATCAACAAACATGCTCCATGGAACAGATTCGGCAGTATCCCAGGTTTCGCACCTTAGATGCTCGTTCGGGGCGCATTCTGATCCTGCGCCTCGACAGTCACAGCTGTAACAGTCTGCGACGGTTCACTCTTGGTGGCTTCCTGCGACGCATTCGCTTGGGAGCTAGACGCTGTATTTCGGCTGCTCCGTGCTCCACCAGTCTTCTGAATTCCAAGACCGGTCTTCGTTCCAAGAATTCCAGTCGTTAAGTTATCGAACCCATTCCAGTTGCCGCATCACGCGAACCTATCCACTCATGATGCCAACCACGATTAAACCCATAAAGACCAACCATCGTACCATTCCTGTTCTCGATGCCAACCCTGATTCCGCTCTCCCTGTTGAATCTCCTGTTGGCTATCATGATCGGTCACTGCCGACATTTCCCCCTGGCATTCTCTACTCCAGAGGCTCGTGTCACGACAAACAAAACAACCTTGTCCCTGGATTTTCCTTTCATTGTGTCTGCTGCGCCACCGTCACTAATCATGCTTGGCATTGTCAGATGTCTGCTAGTTAAAATCATCCAAAGGCAAATGCTGCTGCATTGAACCAGTCGTTTTCTGCGCAAACAGTGTGATCGGGAGGTCATTGTCCAATGGCATGCCAGTCGCCTTCTTATGACGAATCTTCAAGATGAGGAAATCACTCAGATCATTCTCCAGTTGATCATCTTTCAGCTTGAACGAAGGATCTCATTCAGGAGACTCGTGGCTCTCGCTTGTTTAGGCACTGCAAACTCTTTGCGCAATCTTCACCAAATCTCAAGGCCATTCTGTGTCCTCACGAAGAATTGCGCAAGCGGTGCCATCAGTGATCTGTGCCATCACGCACGCCAACTGTCGGGAGTTATTTTGCGCTCCAGTCTGCTGCGCAGCAATTCACTCGATATTCATTCGCTTCGCAAAGGGTTTGTGCAACCTAACATTCCGCCTCGGTTGCCATGACCAATCTTCCCATGTCTCCAGCTCACCGTGCTGCGCCGGTGGTGGGAACAGTTTGATCTCACCACCAGTTAAATTCCTCTCACTTCGAAGTCCGCTACCATGCCAAAATTCAACGATTTGTTTCTCATCAATCGCCCCCGATCAGGCCGGCTCCTGGCAGTGTGGCTTTGCGGTACCACTCCAGCATTTCGTCCAAGCAAGCAACACGACGCCATTCTGGGGCATTCTGATGATGACCATGCTGCCAACTCATGCTGACGACTATTCCCCATTGACATGGCTGACATGGTCAGTAAACTGACGATTAACCTAGTTGTCAAGCTTGAGGCGCTGATTGACATTGTTTTGCACCCATGTCCCCCTTGCGACGGTTATTTCTCGACTGTACGAGATGAACCCGACATTCTCCCTGCCATTCTCCTCAAGCAGTCCTTGCAGTGCCGCTGCAGTGACTTCGGCTAGGCACTCATCAGACACCCATCCACGACATCCTCCTTGCGGCTCTTCCATTCGCGTGCCAGCTCCCTTTGGTCAGGCACTTTCGCACGGCCTGTGACAAGCAACACCAGCCAGTCTCAATCATGCACTCCTTCGGGAAAGTCTGGAGTGCCGAAAAATCCAACGATGACTTCAGTCCCAGGGAGCTCATTGAGTCATCGCGTGCCCAAACCGGCACGACCCAGATAATTCTCCACTCCTTGCGTCGGGGACAAGAATTGGGGCAGTGGCTTCATCCCATTACACTGGCCAATCTGAGCATCGTACACTCGATCGACCATGTCATTCGCTTCGACAGCACTTATATTGGCGGTCCAATGCAGGCCACAGTCCGTTCTTATGTCACTGGACCCTTCCGATTCAATCGGTGCTGGACCAATGTCTCATTCATGAGGCGGGAGCTGTCGAACACGACTTCATTCTGATGCATTCCAGGAGTGGCAGTGGGCCATGGAACATTCGGTGCGGTAGGGACGCCAAGCAACGGCAGCAACCTCAGCATTCTCGTCCAAGAAATTTAATCGATTTTTCCTGGTTATGCACTGTTGCTGATGTCGCCTAGCTTTCAAGCCCGAAATGAGCCTCCCAAAGCTCTTCCAAAAACCAACCATTGTGTTTGCGATTTTCTCGGGTCCAGGAGGCCTGTTTGGATCCGGTGTATGCATTCGTTGCTGGTGTTGGCAAGCCCGAAATCAGCCTCCCAATGCTCTCCAGAAGCACACACCTAAATTTAATTGATTTTTCTCTGGCAGTTTTGTTGTGTCCAGAAGTGTGTTTTGGATCCGGTCTATGACCTGAGTTGATTTTCCTGGGCAGTTTTGTTGGGTCCAAAAGCGTTTTTTGGACCCCGTGCGCCGGCTGTGGAAACAGCGCGCCTCACCAGCGTGCCACCTGCGTGCCGACTGCATGCCTCTGCATCGGCTGTGGACACGGCGTGAGATATATTTGCACAGGTGCAGCTGCGTGCCGACTGTATACATATGCCGACTGCACGCGAGCCGGCGGTGGACAGGGCGCGCCTCACCTGCAGGGAAAAATCAACTATATTTGGTGGCTTTTTTCTTTGGCAATTCTGGTGGGTCCAGGAACGTTTTGTTGGACCCCGCCGGCCCGCCGGTGCACTTGTTGCCGCTGTTGGCAAGCTTTGGAGCCGGAAATCAGTCCCCAAAACTCGCCCGCCCCAACAAACAATTAAATTTGGTTGTTGTTTCTGTGGTTATTTGGGCGGGTCCAGGAGCGTGTTTCGGACCCGGCTTGTGCACCTGTTGTTGACGTTGGCTAGTTTACTCGCCCAAAAAATCAAGTAAATTTGGTTGATGTTTCTGTCGTAATTTGGGCGGGTCCAGGAGCGTTTTTCCGACCCGGCTTCTGCATCTGTTGCTCCCCATAATCCGCCCAAAAAATCAGCTAAATTTGGTCGAATTTTCGTTGGCAATTTGGGCGGGTCCACGAGCGTTTGTTGGACCCGGCTTGTGCACCCGTTGCCGACGTTGGCTAGTTTACTCGCCCATAAAATATCAATGAAATTTGGTTGATTTTTCGTTGTCCAGTTGGGCGGGTCCAGAAGCGTTTTTTGGACCCGCGGCTTCTGCACTTGTTGCTGACGTTGGCTAAGATTCAAGCCGGAAATCTCCACAAAATCAAGTTTATTTGGTTGATTCTGAGCTGGCAATTTGGGCGGCTCTTTGGACCCGGCTTGTGCCTGCGCCGGCGCCGGACACGGCGTGCCTCGGCCATGTGCATGCCGACTGCACGCCGCTGCACCCCCTCAGGACGCGGCAGCATGCTGCATGCCGTGAATCGGCGGCGGACACGGCGTGCCTGGCCTGCATGCCGCCTGCATGCCGACTGCTTGCCGACTGCATGCCGACTGCATGCCGCTGCACTCGGTGGCGGACACGGCACACCCCATCTGCATGCCGTCGCTGGCGGACACGGCGCGCCCAACCTGCCTGCACGCCGACTGCATGCCGCTGAACCCGCCTCGTTGGCGGCGGACACGGCGCGCCCCGCCTGCATGCCGATTGCATGCCGCTGCACCCTCTTCACCGGCGACGAACACGGCGAGCCCCACCTGCATGCCGACTACGTGCCGCTGCACTCCCTCCGGCGGCGCTGGACGCAGCGGGCTTCTTATTTACCGTGAACCCCTAGTTGCTAAAACTGTCTGGGGGAAAAAGTCAACCTGTTGTTGAATCTGTGGGAGATGTTAATTCTGTCACAAATCCAGGTACAAGCTCCAGATGCGAAAGCAGAACAAGCTTATGCACGTATGTCTGTGTGTTCTGCTACAGCCTTGATATGACTTCAGAAGAAATCGGCCATATGCCATCACAAACGCAGGCTGAACCTGGCAGAGGAAATCTCAATCGAGAAGAAGATGGCTAGCTCCCAAGTTTGAGAAAAAGTGAGGGGGGAGCGGTGGGAGCAGGAGCTGTCCAGGCCGTAGCATTTGACGAAGGTCAATCGGAAAATGCCGACGCTTCTGCTGCAGCTACTGGACAGGCACGGGACTTTCAGCCAAGCGAGCTACGGAGTCTTCGGATCATCGGATTCAGGAGTCAGGAGGACCTGCTGTTGGGGGTCCTGACCTTCTTGAAGAAGCTTAGCGTCTTCGAGGAGAACAAGGCCTAACCTCGGCGAGACCAAGAGATGCAACTCTCTGAGCGTGCTTGGCAGGATCAGATTGCCGTACCTCAGACCTTGAACAACTTGGTCAGATTGGCACAGCATCCCAATGCTCGAATCTCGCTATTGGCGCTTCGTCTTTTGTTTCGCACCCAGACATGAAATCAATGGCAGTGTTTGAGCGGAAAGGGATTCTGCCTTCCGAGGTTTAATCTATCCTTTGATGAGAGAGTGCGAGCTGCTTTGGTGGAGTCGGGCATCATCAAACTGCTGGTGGGCGGGTTAGCCTTAGTCAGCAAGTGCTCGCTACTGAGACTTGGGACCGCGAGGTTGATCTTCTGAAGAACCCACCCTTTCGCCACATAGTCTTGCGCCTGCTGTTTCCTGCTTAGTCTTTTCCTTTGAGAGTTGATTGTTTCCCAAAGTCATTCCTCCTCTCGTGAGAAACCTCCCGTCGAGGTACCACTTCTCCATGGACGACCGCTGCAAGTCACTCATGGCATACCACAGGGACCGCAACACAGTCTATGATCTGGTTGCTGGGGTCCTCCAGTGCTGAGGGTTTGAGCCCGTCTCACTATCAACCGCAAGAACTTACGGCAGCTGGGGAATCTTGTAGGATGGCATGATCATGCTGCTCCAGCTGGTTGTCCATTTTCCGGAGCCACGGGTTGGAAAGGACCACCACCCTTGCATTTCTTAAAGGACGCATCGTTGTTCTCTTTCGCAGGATCTAGTGGCCCTGATGGTGAATCTCGCCGCGCATGCTCGCGCAGCAGAGGCATTCATGATAGCTTTGCTGGGCTTAGGGCGACTGGCTTTTTGCAGCATGTTCTTTGCAGGTCATTGTGCAAAGCGGCCTGTTTCCGGCCATTGTTCTCCGCGTATTGAAGCACCGGGACCCTTTGCTGTGCCAGGTGCCAACTCTGTTACCTCGTGCTTTCTTCCCATCACAATGCAGAGGTGATACGGCACGTCGCCTCACATTCGGGCGTGCTGGAGCAAATGTACGAGCTTCTACAGAGTGAAGATGCCATCAGCTCGGATTTGCCATGTCGCGATCACAGTCAGAAGTCACGTCCTCGAACAGGTTCGCATGGCCAAGTGGATGCATGAGTTCGTCCGCATGGCTGTGTGCTCTGTTGACAACCCAGATATGCTGGTGGAGGCAGCATGGTCTTGACGATTGCAATCAGAGTTTGATGTTAGTTCGTGTTCATTCCGTGGCTACGTATCTGCCGACAGGTGCTGGGAACCCTGGCCAACGTCACACTGGAGGAGGTGCTGATTGCTTGCAAGTGTTTCCTGCGCACAAACTCGATGCCAGTCCTTGGTACTCATGGCCTGGTTGACACCTGGCATATTATCTCAGTCTGGCTCAAGATGCTCCATTAGGCAGCCGCGAGAGCCGATCTTTTCGCCATGTTTGAGTGCTCGTCAGCTGCAATCTGCCAATGAAACGGTCACCCTCTCCTGCGAAGTTCTTACCCGCCAAGCCAGAGCTTTTCTGGGCGCTGACGGACATTCCCAGTGTGCATGACAAGCAGCTTCCCGGGAGTCAATCTGTGAAGAAGGGTTGGACTTATTCCTCATCTAAGGATGAACCTGCCTCTTCTCGATCTTCCCCGAAGAGCTCAAGCAAGACAATTGCGAAACCTGCACAAAGGCCAATGATTGGACGGCCAGCCTCTGCACCACAGCTCCACAAAAGCAAGAGACCAGCTCAGCCCCCTCGGTCACAGTCGCGCGTGTCGAGCCCAGCCAGAAAGCTTGATGCAAAGCTGATGCCATGTCACCCAGGCAGGGAGCTCAGGGATGCGAACGAGGAGGCGTCTGCAATGACAGTGCCCATCGCATCGTATGACCGACAGAAAGGCCAAGAGCCGAGACAAAATGAAGTCAAAGCTACACGGCCGGGCAGAGAGAGCAAAGGTCCGGTCAATCGCCAGAAGATGGCTTGGCAGAAACTGGGATACCAGCCGGGCCTGCCGAGAAAGCCCGCAGCGCAGTCCCTGATTCCCAGACATATATCAGACTTGCCGAACGTTTTAGCGCACATGGAGCGGTTGAAAGCCGAGCAACTCGAGTTAGCAAAGGGCATACAAGGCGAAGGCACCGAAGGTGTCGAAGGTGTGAAGATTAGGACATGCAAAGATGTCTGTGTTTTAGAGTTTCCTGAGAATGGGGCTCGTCTTTTAGTGAATCGGTGGAGGACGGGATACAGCGAGCGGCAGCAACCAAGTCGCGCTCAAAGCGCACAGGGTCGCAGGGCACGCTCGAGCCCGCAACTTTCACGGTCCACTGGTTTTCCATGCACGCCGCAGCCAGTGCAGCCAGTGCTGTCTGTTCAAAGTGCCCAAAAGGGCAGCCATGGAATCAGTGTGTTGCATTTTGAACTCGTAGGCCAAGCCGAGTAGAGTAGATGTGAGCCGCTGTTGATGTTTTGACCTGGTGGCATTCCATTTGCATTCGCGAAAAAGTTGCGTCCACTTGCTCTGCAAGGTTAAGGGAGAAGGCAAGGAAGGCGTGAAGGAAAGAGTGAACACGTGGGATTTCTGCGCTGTGCTTCAGCAGCTGGCCCGGTACTGTGACGCTTAGTGGCTGTGAGCCTTCGCGATGGGAGAGCCGGCTCGAGATCCTGCAGCATACGAGGCTCGATGAGTCCCTGAGTCCCTGAGTGCTCTTTAAGTTGATATCTCGAGAAAACCAGGTGCCGAAGAGCAATGGTTCAACCCACCTTGGAAAAGCCTCGACTGCCGCAGTCAGGCGTGTTTGTTTTTCGCTCTGGTCTTTTCGCTCCAATGGAGGGCGCGCTTCAGGTTGTCGGAGAAAGAATGGAGCGAAAAACTTCGAACAAACATGTGGAAGGACGGTGGCGTCCTCAGGTCTCTGAAGCGGTCGCGCCTGAAGCACCCATGAAGGTTCTCCGAAACAAGGCTACAGAGCCTGGGCATCGAATCAAGTTTCCTCAAGGTGCATCTGTTGCCTGCGCCTTGAGCGATGCTACATGCTTCTTTAGTGAGAGGCTTTGACGACCACAAAGATTCCGGCGTTTATCTTTGCAGTGGATGTTACTTCGCAGGGCTGCAGGCAGTGCTGCACTAGCGGCTGGTAGGCTCTTTGCTTGCTTCCGACATTTCTGCCAGGTCCCCTTGTACACCAGCAGCATGAAATTCGACTGTGGGTGTGGTTGGCCAGGATTCTGGACCAATGTCAAGGCACGTGTCACTGACGAAGACCCTGACCATCCCCGACAGTGAAGCGCGGCGCAGCGTAGGATGAAGTCTACGAGCAGCGGGATGCTGATGGCCGGAGGCACTCCAGCGGCCGCTGCTTTACACATCTTTGCGCTGGTGTGGCGTGGTGTTGCGAAGGTGTGAAATTCTTTGTTCGAAGTGCCAGCTTCTCAAAAGGCGATTCGAATGCTTTGCGCATGATCACACCGCTTCTCTGAGGCGATGGTCATTTGGGTCATGTCTTCCGTGGTGAGGTGTCGCGCCCAGCTGCTCACGAAGAGTGGAGCGTCCTTTCACCTGCAGGGCTTCGGGTACAGCACGGACGAGCGGCACTGCGTGAATTCTCTGAGCCTGGTGTAGCGGACCTGGCTCGAACTGGCTTCTGGCTGAAACTGCAGTCTTTCATGTGATTTCAGTGAGGTTTCTGCCAGCCAAAGGTGGTGAGGCCGTGGTGCCATCGTACACAGGACCCGTGTTTGGGAGATCCCGGCGACTTGACATTGGCTGAGCATGCAGCAAATCGCTGTGGAAGCATATTTCTGTTCTTCACGCTCATGGCAGGTAAGCGGCCGGCAAGCGCCTGACAGGACGATTTTCGGGCCGAAGTCGAAGACTTCCGAGCCCATCCCTCTCCGACTGCACGCAAGGAGGAAAAGCTGGCCTTTTTTTTGTTGGCATTTCGCGGGCTTCCTGGAGCTCGTGCTCTGGGCTCTGAGGTGCCTTGGGCCGAGCTCTGCGAGCCGGGCCTGGGCCTCCTGGAGCTCCTTACGCGGCTCCTGGTCCCCAGCTTCTCCGAGGCGGCCACACGGCCACGGGGTCCGCGCCCGGCCCCCCCGGCCCGCCCTTTGCCCATCTTTGCCCTGCCAGGATGACTTGGTGCTCGAGTGCGTGCTCTTGGCGAGCAACCTTGCTTGCTGTCCAGCCGCTCGACAGAGACATGGTTCGAGTTCGCGGTTCACGTAGCTTGTTTGAACATCGATGCAGGAATCAGCGCAGCACATTGCGGGCTCGCGACTACCGGCACTGATGCAGGACGGCTTTACACATAACGATGCCCCTTGACCACTGTCATGTATGGCCGTTCGCAGCTCGCGCTGCGAAGTTGTGTAGCTTGGCCACCGGGCCGGTCGACCTGAACTCCGTCGAAAACCGGCGAACACACCAAGCCTGCATCCCTTGGTCCTGTCGCGGTGACCTTTGTTCTTGTCGTGTCGGGTGAACCTCAACTTCCTTCTGAAGCTACGCAGGTGCAAGGCGGTGAAAGTGTCCACAACAGGGGTTGGGACACGTGGCCTGGACAAAGTAATTTCTACACTTTCTAAAGCCCCAAGTCTGTGGATGGCTGGTCCATTTCACAGCGAGATTGTCATGAGAAGAGTGAACATGGAAACTGCTTTCAGGACTTGTTAGTCGAGAAGCGAGAGGACGAGGAGAGCTTGCTTTATAAACGATGTCCGGCTCAAACCCTCGAACATCTCAGAGAAAGACGGCTAGGAAATTGTCGTGCAGTTGCTCTTTGCATTCCACTGCCTACTGCATCATGACGAGGCTGGCCTGAAATTCAATGTGGATTCACAGGAGACGCTGTGTGACCGAACGTCTATTTGGCAAGGTTCGCGAATACGTTCTGCAAGAGACGGAACTGGCGCCTTGCATCATGAGGTGCTACCGCATCTCTTTCAATCTCGGAAGCCCGTCAGTGCAGTGGAGAATCCAGCCCTGTGAGGTTTGCGCGAGCACGAAATCCTCTGGTTCTCGAGTATGCAACTGCTCTGCTGCAGGCAGCTCTGGCCAGCTCTGCTCTGCTCTGCTCTGCCGTCATGTCGTCCTGTGTGCTCTGCTTCTGTTTCTTTTTTGCTTTCAGATCGTAGCGACCACCAACGATGCTCCGGGCGCAGAGGACCAGAAGAGAATCCCACCAAAGATTCTGTGACAGCCGGCAGCTGCAGGATGGAACTCCAGCTTGGGTGGAGCAGATCAAGGCCAAGCTTTCAAGGTACGAGCTTCTGTTATGACGTTCCGGGCCGTGGCAAGGCATTTCGCTTTGAGCAGCACAACCCAGAATGGTGCAGATGTGCCAGGGTCTTGCTTGTACACTGTACATGCTCCTAGAAAAAGCAGCGAAATATTCATGCGTCATATGCCTTTCAAGAATTCATCCTATCCAGTTTCTTCCAGCAGTTGTGCCGCGTAAGACTTGAAGATTGCCCAGGTCACCAGAGAGTTGAGTGGTGGTACTGGCATGTCTCCTGGTGGAGCATATGGCGGTTACTATGACGATCACGAGGCACGGGGGAACGGACTGGCTATGTGTCTTGAGCGCATCTGCTTCTATGAGCAGGGCAGCGGGGGAGAGGATGAAGAAGAGTTTGCATTCCACTGGCTGCCGGCTCAGTTCCCAACTGGGCCAGTGATGCAGCAAGCGCAGGCAGGCAGTGGCAGAAGCATTGTCAGGGCGGGTGTTGACGCTGCTGATCCTCGAGACCTTGCGAAGCGCGATTGGGCCAACCAGGACAGCTCCTATCAGACTCTTTATTCTTAGCCTCAGTTGGGAAGGGATCGTCAACATGACTTGCAGGATTTCGCGAAGCTGTCCCATTCCAGCCGCTGGCAAACATGATTCTCCGCGATGTCCGGGCTACCACAGCAAACCTGTCTGTGACGTGTACAGTACGCTCGGTGCGGACAATCGCCTCCAGTCTCACATTGATCGGAATGATTCCCTGCACGCGCCCGACAAGACAAAAGTGCAGCCAGTATGTCGGCAAAGCCAGCCGCCTTGTCTCGAGATTTGCGAAGTAATGCGACAGCGTTCAACGTGCGGCACAGATGCCATGGAACGCATTTGACAATTTCATCCGGCTGAAAGACCCTCCCAGGGTGAGTTCCATCAAATCAAATGCCCCGTCGTGGTTCTCGTCTTCGCACGGAAGCTCGATTGCCGACGATTGCCCGACGATTGAAACGTTGCTCGAGACATTGCGGCAGTCTTGTGAACAAATTTGCGGTTTCAAGACGGAATGCTGCTGCGGCTCGCTTCACCCAATGTAGAACTCATACGTTAACACCGACATGACACACTGGTTAAAGATATCACGACCCGTAGATTTCGAAATGTGAGTTCCACAAAAAGCACGGTCACTGCTCGTAGCCCCGTACATGACGAGATCCAGCGGCCAGCGTGCGCCAGTCTTCTGCTCCAACCTTTGCAGCAGCCGCCCGGCGAGCAAGCCGGTGGCCGGTGCAGAGGCACGCAAGCGCCGAAGTAACAAACTGCCCCGCCCTGTGTCGGGCAGCGCACGTTCCTTTGCGGGGACAAGGGCTACCGCCACCGGCTGCAGAGTGGCTCTGTCGGGATCGCTGCGAGACGGCGCGCGGTCTGGTATCGCGAATCTGAGAGAGCCGGGAACTGGGTGCACATGGCCGCACAAATTTTCTCCCTCTCTTTTGCTGGTGCATCTTTGCAGCAGCGATCCGTCGCTGACCCCGTGAAAGCCTTAGCGGGGAACGCCTACAAGCGAGTCCCGGAGCAGAGGAGCTTCGCCACCCATGTGACAACCGGGGCACAAAGTTGCCCTCCTCCGAAATCCACGCAGCAAGTGCGATAGGGCAGCATCTGCTGGGTCCCGGCCAACTCATCCAGCGATACGGACGCCCCCCTTGCATGGAACCGCCGCAGCAATGAAAAGGGAAGCCAAGGCGATGTCAACTGCAGCTTGTGCTTTCAACGTCACGGACCAACAGACTTGCAGCTGCCCCATTTACAGTCACATGCTCCTTTGCCAAAATATCTAGAATTATGAATCAATTATGTTGAATTGCATCCGCCCGGACATCTTTGGATGAGTGCCATGTACGGTTTCGCCGCTTTCCTGGAAACCTTGAGCTCGAGGAGCGCGAGTGCACTTGTGGTGCCTTACCTCGCATGTGACAGGGGCTAGATGCGACCATGTTTCGCTTCCGGTGTGCTGAGTTACGTGTACAGCGAAAGCGTCGCTTAAGCATCTGGTAGGGCTAGTTCAGCGGGGGACCACGGCAGAAAGTGCCGCTTGGTCGTTTGACGTTTGGGCTGCAGGTTATAGCAGGGACACTGATGCCACCTCCTTCCAATGTTTTCTGTTTGGACTGTCCGCGGCGCCTTGGTTTCGACAGTGTCTGTACAACCTACCCAAGCCCTTTCTTGTGGTCGTGTATGTGATGCGAATTAAGCCATTCGGGGGCCTTTCAGCTTCACGCCATGCTTGAAGCCAACCTCCTTGGATTTGAAACCCCATCGAAGCGAATGGTCAGTCTGCGTGTGCGCAGAAGTCCGCTACGCCAGCACGGCGCAGTAAGAGTCGCTGTGTTGTCGCCGCCTTCCTCGACCGCCCTGCCGACTCTGCGGTGCTGCAGGCGAACTGCCTGCTCTTCACCGAGGCCTTGGTTGAAGCATGCTGGCCTTCGACCGCGGAGCCCAGACACTTGCCGGCTTGGCTTGCTTAAGACTTAAGACTTTGCGTTGCGCTCACCGTGTTGGCCCCTGCCGTAGTTTGCAGCTTTGTGCGCCAGGACCGCTTGACTTCTGGTAGGTGCGAGGGAAAGAAAAGTCAGGGCCGGACGAGATCCTGCACGAATCGCGGGGGCACCGACCTGCGACTTCGGATCCCGACACCACGAGTCTTTGCGGGCCGCTGGCCTGTAGCTGTCTCAGCCGCCGCCGGGGTCCGACGGGCATGCTTCCCCACTCCACTCTGGGGCGAGACATGCTGCACCGGTCCGACAGCAAGCTCAGGCCGCAGAAGGAACCTTGCGTGGGTACCAACACGCTGCCGCTTCCGCTTGTGATGAGCGCGCCTTCGCGACGCGCCTTTCTCGCCTCGATCCTGCGTCTCGTGCGCTGCTGCTCTCGCAAGCAGGACCTTATGCGGCCCGTGTGCCGTGTGTTCACGGCGTTCCCCTTGTCCCCGCCAGTCGCCAATGGCTTGCCCGTGTGGCATGGTGCCCAGCTCACGATCGATGCCACGATCGTCACGGCTCCGCACGGCCTGGTGCGGACACCCCCCTGCAGCCGAACTCGAGGGATCTCGAAACCGCTAGGATCGAGACCGGAGCAGCTTCCTTCCTGTGTCTCCGGCCGCAGCATCGCGCAGCCGGGATCGGGGCTGCTTGAGCTTCCGGCCGCTGGTGA